ATACTACTACTTACTACTATATATATATATATATATATATATATATATATATATATATATATATATATATATTTGCCACACATTTATTTCTAGTATTTCAGTAACTCATTAGAAAAGCATAATTTTGGGATATTTTTCAAAATATTTAAAGTCTGAAAACGAACATTTTGTCTTTATCATATATTTATTTATTCGTTTATTTAATAGTTAAAAGAACTGCAAACATCTGTTGTGAAACCTGGATCGTTATCAAAGCTGCCAGGATCGATACAGCAAATCATTACAATGATTTTTGACGTTAATGCAATGAACGATGTTCTTGAAAGTCTTGAGGTTAGTTTTCATTCCTTCTTATAAGTTTTGGATTATTCAGTCACTTGGCTAGTATGGGCAGAACCTTGAATTTAATTTTGAAACTTTTGCAGCTACAACTTTTTTTTATTTTGTTTTACTAATGGTTATCAAATTTTTTCCAAGATAATTTTTCCAGATCGATACAGGTAAAATGCCTCTCGGAATACTATCAATTCGTCACATAAAAAATGCATATAAGATTTTGACAGAGCTGCAAACAGTAAGTACATTTTTGAAAGAAAACTCCTTAACAGAAACTAACAAAAATTCTCAAGAAGTTTATGTAGAGGTCACATTCATTATATACGAACTTAAAGTCGAAATTTAGTTAATGGAAGTTAGTAATGCCAAATAAATCTAGTTAATGGAAGTTGGTAATGCCAAATATGAAGATTATTTGGATGCAACAAATCGATTTTTCACTCTTATTCCACATAACTTTGGTATGAACAAACCGCCGCTTCTCAACTCGCAGAAACTCTTAATTGTTCGTTTGAATTATTCCATATTTTAATTGCGTAATCTAGAAATTTTTGTTAACTATATAAACTTCAGGAAAAAATGAATAGCATTGTGGTGTAAAGTCAGTAAGTTTTTTGAATTTTCAAAATTCATTTGCCCAAGTTAGTGAACGTTTAATGTAACTCCAATAGTTATTGTCATTTTTTGCTAATACGTATAGGTTGTCGTTACTAATCCCTTTTTACCACTTCGAGACGATTGTTATTATGGAATGTGCAGGTGAAATTAAATCACTAATTCAGTATTTATTTACAGGATAAGGCGAAACTACTTGACGATCTTTTGGAGCTTGAAGTCACATACAGCATTTTGAAGTCTGATGATAGAAGAGATCGAACGCGAGATCCTGTGGATGTTCACTATGAAAAGTTACATGCTGAGCTAGAGGTTTTACAATTTTATAAGAATTGTGTTTCTTCCTATCGTAATTTGACTCTCAATCTTTGTAATAGGAAAGATTTCATGCTTACACTAAGGATTTCAAATCATTAAAAATTGATTTTTCATCTGTTACTTACGGACAAAACTGATCAAGGTTTTTCAGTTACTGGATAAGCAGTCGGACGAGTACAGACGCATACTGCAGTATGCTGCGAATACGCATGCACCTACACACGACCAATATAAACTTGAAATTGTTGATGTGTGTTTATCTTTTAAAATTTTTTGTGAACTGCTTAAAGAAGGTATTTATTTGACTAGAAATCCCTTGCCGTTTATTTGTTTTGAATTCTCAGAATCTGTACAACACTTTTACTTTCGTGTTATAAAGATTGGGAATAGTTTTTCTGTAGATCATTCGGGTAAAGCGTGAAGGCGAAAGTGAAAGATTCAAAAAAGATATCCCAAATCATTATTTACTTTGGCATGGTTCACGAATAACGAATTATGCAGGAATTTTATCACAGGGATTACGAGTTGCACCGCCAGAAGCACCTATGGTATGAAGCTTAAGTAGCTAAGTCTTACTGTGGAATTTGATATTAAATCTCAAAAAAAGAAAAAAAACGATTTCTTTACTATTACGAGCTTTAAGATTATGTTAAGAAGAATTTGAGAAAAGCTTTTAGAGTGGTACTAAGTTATAATTTTAGACGGGTTATATGTTTGGGAAAGGGATATACTTCGCAGATTTGATATCAAAATCAGCAAACTATTGTTATGCAGTTAACACGGAAGGGTTTATTTTGCTTTGTGAAGTGGCACTTGGGGAAATGCAGGAAGAAATCAATGCGAAATCAATCACAAAACCTGATAAGGGGAAACATAGTGTTAAAGGTATGAATTTGATGTTGAATTTGAACGTAACTGTATTACTTATGTGTAAGATCAGTACATAGCTGATTCTTTATGTCCAAAACATTTTATTGTTATGTCAACTGAGTAAGAAGCGCAGTGACTCGAGATTATAAATGCTTTGTGAACTGAAACTTACATGTAAGCATATAACGTTGAAACGTTTTGGACATAGAAATATTTGATTATTATCCCCTTATTTCTGTATTTTTTTCTAACAAATTGATTTTTCAAGCAAGTAATAGGATAGTTTTCAAAATTAAACGAAAATCCATCATACTTTAAAGTTTGAACATATGATTAAAATACTAATTGAGCGGTACTCTGTTGGTCTTCATCGATTCAAATATTGAAAAAAAAAAGGAATAAAACATCTGCTTTAAAAGTTATGTAGTCAGTTTTTGAAATGGAAATTGTACTTTTTATAAACATGTATTTCAGGCTTAGGACAAACGATTCCTGATCCAAATGAGCACTTTGTGACAGAAGACGGTGTGACAATTCCTATGGGGAAACCTATAGATACGAAAAGGCAGGATCTGTCGCTTTTGTACAATGAGTTCGTTCTAATTTACCATTTGCAAAAGCATATAAGACATATCAGCCACAAGAATTACTTAGAAGTATTTATCCGTCCTCGTTCTTATGTTTGCTTCAATTAACAGGTAGCGCGTATATATATAAATATACATATATATATATGTACATATATATAAATGTATAGATATAAATAGATACATATATAGATATAGATAAATAATATTTAGTCGGTTGCAGGTATATTGTTTACGATGTTGCTCAGGTTGAAATTAAATATTTGGTGCGAGCTAAGTTCATATCATCTCTCTTCTGAATTTGCAAGATTACCAACATTCCAGTGGAATATCAATCGATCAAGCTCCTACATTCCTTTCTGTGAATTTATTTCCGTCACATGTGTTTTACATTTTTAATGGTGTTTTCGTTTTTTTTTCTTTTTATTTACATATTAATCATATCGATATCAGTGATGCATACAATATTTTGGAATTTTGAATCAATAAATTTCTATCTAAATCTATTTTGAAGAATTGAGTATTACGTTAGTACTATTCAATGGAATTTTAGTTTTCCAACACAGACTTACTGAAGCTTAAATGATTTTAATCGCTTATTGGGCTTATATCTTAATCATTCACAAGATTCTGTTAAATTAATATTTGACTGTCACTGTTATTTATACTATAATAAAATAAGATGGTATATGTGACGTGTTCCAAGTCATCACTTAAACTTGTCAAATTCTTTACTTATATACTTTCTCTTAGACTTTGACGAGGAACTTTTGATCGTTTTCTTTTGAAGGTC